ATCCTCAGCACCACATACCAACAAAGATGTTGTGTCCGCCAACTAAAAAATAAATATTAAAAAAAAAAATTTTTTTCTTCCTGTGCCTTCATCATTTTTTTTTAACATTTGTCATTTTGTAATGATCTGGCCACTTGACCTGTGAAATATCTCATATTCTGGGGTTACAAATATCTTATTTTATAATATTGGGATTTAATTTGTTCCTTTTCCCCTGTAAATTTTCTGTAAACTGCAAATTAGGTATAATGGCTTGATAAGATTAATACTAAACACTTTTGACAGGAATACTTAATAGATGATGTTGTGTACTTATTGCATCTCATTGAGGACCACACAACATCAAAGTTGTCCTATTACTAGTGATGTAAAGTGTGATCATTTACTTGAGTAAGGTTTGACTGCCAGACCTTTCCATTGAAATTACTTTTAGTTTTGTGCAATTTGCAAATTATCTGTGTGGTGACATTTGACATGTTCTTTAACAACGTTTCTCTTAAAAGTTTGACAGGATCATTCTGGGTTGCAAAATAGTGATTTCCTAATTCTTCCATTTCTTCTACATTTATTGGATGGGATTCTTTATAAAATCGGGCTTTCCCATATAAATTACTGATGAAAACGGACGGTAAATGCTTCTTTTAGTTAACAATTTCAGAATAAGGAGTTCGTGTAATAATCGCTTTCAGTGTGGCGAATTACATTTTTTACTTTTATTTTTTTTAGTGTCAGTATAGACTATTGGGTTTTCCTTGTCTCTTCTCATATTCTCTCCACCTATTCCTTCATCCACTCCACTTTTTGATCCATGGCGATTGCCACCTTTTTCGGCACTACACCTGAACTTTCCAGTTAGTCCTCTAGGTGTCACTGGTTTCTCTTGCGTCCTTACACTGCCGCTCTATCGCACATCTCGCTTTTCGCAACTGACCATCTCGCTGGTGTTGACTCGATTCAAGGAGCCGCTCTAGGCTCTCGGGAGGCCGTTAGCATTGTGTGGAGAAAGTCTGGACTACGCGTCGCCTCGCCGGCCCTGGGGCGGTTAGCGCTTCCGGGGTCGAAGGGTGCGCGGGGTTGAAAGCGGGCCGCTCCGCCCCGTC